ACACACACACACACACACAAACAAATATATATATATTTATATTTATATTTATTTATTTGTTTTTTTATTTTTGTGCGTGTGTACTTACATATATATATATATATATATATATATATATATATATATATATATATATATATATATATATATATATATATATATATATATATATATATATATATATATATATATACAATATATATATATATATAAAACCAGCTTTAATGAGGAAAATTTGTCTTAACAAAATCCCGTTATCACATGAAAATACCATTTAAAACATTATTAGGTGGAAAAATAGCCTCTAGTAGGCTACGCTGTGTGTGGCAGCATTGCGTCACCGTGAATGAGTCTGCCTGGTTTCGAAATATAAAAAAACAAGTCTTTATTTGTTTTTGTTTTCTGGGGATTTTATTTTTTGTTATTATATTTTGTTACAACAACATTGTAAACATTGAATTATTATTTTCTTCTTATAGTATTCTATTTATGACTTATTTGTCGTGTGATCAACCTTTTGGGCTAGTTGTAGATGTGTTTGGAAGCAATTTGTAACATTTTATTAATATTTTGGCAAATTGAACCAAATGAAGGAAATGACTCGAAAAAAGATCCGTTCATCTCGATTAACGAGACTCAAAGATCCGAGTCAGTAAAATGATCCGAACTTCCCATCACTACATTGCAGTGCCTTTGGCCACGCCCCTTCGCTCAGGATGTATTTTCTTGTAGTCCCCAAACTTCATTTGCTGTAGGCTTTGATAAGCTAACTCTGTACAGGCCAATGGCTGCGTCTGAAACTGCATCCTTCCATACATATATAGTATGCTAAAATCAGTATGCGGGCCGAGTAGTATGTCAGAATTCATAAAATTTGAAAAACAGTATGCAAGAACTACCTGGATGACCTACTATTCTGAAGCGCACATCCTGTGCACGCTGCACTATCCCATGATGCCCTGCAAAAGAGTGGGAGTGAAGTGATGCAACTGACGCAGGTAGGTCACATGATCATGACAAAATGGTGGATGTAGTACTTCAGAATTCCATTCATACTGTATAGAATGTACTTTTCCAATGGTCGAGTAGTACATTCAAATGCAGTACCTACTGAGTAGTAGGCAGTTTCGGACGCAGCCATATCTCCCTTTGCATTGAACTTTGAGCATACTGTATCACTTTCAGAGATGTTGCTGCGTGAACATAAACAACATTACACATCAACTGAAGTTTACCTATGATATCGTAGTGGAGCACCCCTTTAATCTTAGTAATAAATGCATTAACTAATTAACTAGCACAATCTTTATTGTAAAATATTCCTCTAGCTTGTTTAACAGATCTGCATATTAATGTACATCTTCCATCCTTCATTACAGTCAGTGTGAAAGGAACCCCTGCCCTATGGAGAGCCGCTCCTGTCCTCTTGCAGCAAAGACCATTTCTTACCACTATCTGTCTCTGCCGTCCAACCTGCGCACCCCTGCCACCCTTTTCCGAATGGCCACCGCCAGCGCTCCGGGACGGCCGGGTCCAGACAGCCTGCGTTTCGGCATAGCCAGCGGAGGAGACTCGCGGAGTCTGTTCGTCATGCAGCGCTCAGACCGACAGACTGGAGAGCTGATCCTGGTTCAGCCGCTAAGAGGACCACAGGAGCTCAGTGTGGAGGTGGAGATGTCAGAATACGCCGAGCGCTCCTTCCAGGCCAAACATCTGGCGCGGGTCACCCTTCTCGTTTCACCATACGAGTTCTGAAGAGCGGATTCAGAGTTCAGGCTTGGACTGGAAGAGGAAAGAAGATTTTTTTTATTGCTGAAGATGAATATTTGTTCATAGAGCACGCCTGGATTTTGATGCTGGAATAAGGCAAAAGCAATAGAGAGTACAATAGAAAGTATGACTGTTTGATGTTTGGTAAAATATGCGATAATGGAAATAAAATAAAAAAATGAAAGAGTATAGTGGAAAGTAGGGCTGCTAGATATTGGGAAAACATGCATTTTTGTACTGCGATAATGAAAATGTAATCAAATTAAATTAAATAAGAAGTAGGGCTGCTCAATATTGGGAAAATATGTGATATTGGAAATTAAATCAAAATAAAAAATAAAAAAACTGCAGAAGAAAGTCGGGCTGATTGGTGTAGGGGTGATATGCGATGATGGAAATTAGATCAAAATAAATAAAAAATGAAAGATATGCACAAAAGATTTCATAGATATTGGGAAAATATGCAATAATGGATATTAAATCAAATTAAATAAGAAATAAATAAGATATGAAAGAATATAGTGGACAGTAGGGCTGCTCGATATTGGGAAAACATGCAATATTGTACTGCGATAATGAAAATTGTATCAAATTAAATAAAAAAGAAGTAGGGCTGCTCAATATTGGGAAAATATGTGATATTGGAAATTAAATCAAAATAAAAAACTACAGTAGAAAGTAGGGCTGCTTGGTGTAGGGATAATAAGCAAAGATGGAAATTAGATCAAAATAAATAAAAAATGAAAGATATGCACAAAAGGATTCATCCATATTGGGAAAATATGCGATAATTTAAATTAAATCAAAAAATGAAAGGGTAAAGTGCAAAGTAGTGCTGCTCAATATTGGGAAATTATGCAATTTTGTATTGCAATATTGAAAATTTAATCAAATTAAATAAAAAAATGAAAGATGTGGAAGGCAGCTTGATACTGGGAAAATATACAATATTGCAACAATGAAAATGTAGTTAACTTGTTGACAAGGGTTCAACAGCGGAACCACGCCTCACTTTGTCTCCTTAACCAATCACCTACCCTCTAAAAACTTAGCACTGTTCTTCTGGTTCACCCTCCCTCCATTTCTTTGCTTTCCATTAACAATCCTATAACCCTCTCTTCCCTCCTAGATTGAATCGGGGGGTCCAATCACTCTCCTAGGTTATATCAGGGGTCCAATCATTCTAACGAAATATTATAGAGATGGTACCCCATTTCTAAGTCACTGGGCATCACCGTAGGACGCCCGATCAACCTACCTACCTATTCACTGTTTATCCTCTTACTTGCCTTCCCCTTCGTCCCACTGTTCCCTTACCATCCCTTTTATTCCTAAAATAAAGTCCAGCTTAAAATTTGGCGTGGTCCATGCTGGTGAAATTTACTGTATGTATGTATGCATATATATATATACATATATATATATATATATACATATATATATATACATACATATATATATATATATACATATATATATATATATATAT